AGTAGCAGCTTCTAACGCCAAATTTACACTCTGTGTGTCCATCTTCGAAGCGTGTATTGCCTTGCGGAACCTTTAGACGAACCGCAGTCTTCTCACTTGCCACTCCCTCTACTTGTACAGAGCATATATTGCGGAAGGCAATGGCGCACAAGCATGCAGGGAGTAAGACTCGAGAATATGAAGGAACATCACCATCCCTATATATGGGTTAAAAAACTTCCTTTGCAGGTTGATGCGCAGCCGTTTATCAGGTTTTTCAAAAATTCCGCAAGGATTTTCGTTGCGACCTAATAGAATAAGCATGGGAGCACCTATCCATTATTTATTTCCAAGGAGTAGGCGTGTTTTCTATCGAATCCGATCGATTGCGTGTCACCGGAAATGACGTGGCAGCCACCGCACTTGATAGATGTTGTGTGGATAAAATACTCCGCCAGATATCAGCAAAGCGTGTTGGAAGCAGCTTATCCGCGCAACTTCTATCAAGTGCGGTGGCTGCCACGTCATTTCCGGTGACACGCCCAATCAGACTTCGAGATATCGACTGTACAGTTAGTGATTCAATCGCGCGATTCAGTCGCTGAACTCAATCGCACGATTGAGTCGAGCCGTGAGTTGCGCGAATGAATCGTGGGCTACGAACGCAGTACGGGTTCTGACTTTCCTTGTTCGTGATCTGTCCTGAATCATCGAATTAATCCAGAAATCTAGGCTTCGCAAAAAATATGACTGGCTTTTCAAGACAACCTTTTCTGTTTTGATTTGGACATTGGAACTCGAAAAAATTCGCCACGTATGCCTATGTTTTTTTACCGCGCTAATGATTATTGGAATTTTCTAGTGATTCTAGAGTTTCGAAGGTAATTTGTTGAGCAATTTCGTGAATTTATTTCTTCAAAATAGGAAAGGGAGTGGTGCAGAATGATGTTTTTCTCACCATTAGCGCAGGCAATGGCGGCTGCTTTGGTTTCTGTATCACTTTTGCGTTGTTTTCTTCTACTTTACTACACTGATTTCTAAAATCAATTCAGAATACGTACAAGAGCACGGTAGTGTTGTGCCCCTCCTGGGTAATCTTGCCAGCCCGGGACCATATCAGCTTACTAATCGGTTCGGTAATCTCACCAACGAGGATCTTCGACAAGCATTTTGCCGAGGGTGAGTAATAATTCTTTTAGTTGTATTTCGTAGAAAAATTCATCATTCTCATTACTATTATTACCGTGACAATCTTTTTAGCAAACTGCTTCTGCCCGACAAACTACAATCCCTTCACCTGGGATGATACCGCTCCACACGGTGGATGTTACAGAACTATTCCTCTGACGTCGATCCAGGTACATAATACATAATACTATAACATGTTTCACGTTGATACCGTGATTGCAGACTCAGCAACTATTCACCAGACGAATTTCTGAAAAATGACTTCATTGTCGCGTGAGGGATCCGAGATAATGTATGCTATACCGTAACCAGTGTCAACCGTGCGTTGCGCAGTTCTCAACGGCCACATTGCGCAGTTTCGCCCGATTAGACACGTTCTGTTCGCGCGAACATTCACACTCGCATGCTCGAGCCGTCTGTGCTCTCCGCCCATACAGCGTGCGTTGAGGATCTCTCGACGTGCCGCGTTCGAAACTTCGGCGAGAGCGCACGCGGAGCCTTACCGGCAGACCGCTCCGACGTGCAGCGGTGCCCACTGGGGCTCTCGTGTGCTCGCTCCCATTTCTCTCCTGTGCTCTCTCAACGAGAAGAATGCGTCGAGCAAACTCGTCAACTCGGCCACCGCCTAGCTGCTTGCGCGGCGAACGCTGCGACGCTGCTCGATTTTTGGATGTAGCCTGGGAGGAGGGGCCGGGTTGCGCATCACGATCCTACACGTCCGCACACACCGTGACCGCTTTGCAGCGGGTGCCGAGCTGCCGAGCTGCACTGGGGCGCGCGGCGCCCAAACTGCGCGGTAACGGTTATACACCTGTTTTCTGAAATAAGACCGGCTGTCGCGTTGGCTTTTTGGATCTTGACAGGGTGAAAATCGTGTCGAGTACGTGGTCGCAGAGGTACGACCCCCCCCCGAAATCGAGATCCTGGCACGACCCCCTCTAACAGAGCAAATTAATTCAATTAAAATAAATCCTGCAAAACAAATCAAAAAAATTCTGCAAAATAATGCTAAGGACGCTTCATCTTGTCATCTATGCACGTCTTCCATCGCTGCATACTTTTGTGTACATACTGAAATATCGACTCGAGGAAAGAGGCATTAACTTTGTGTGACCTCAAGGCGAGGTTCGTTCAGAAACGCACAGAAATCCTGAAGACACGGGGTTGCGATTCAATCTTGATTCTTGCTTGAGTATATCAAAACAGCCGAGTGTATCAAAGGCCGATTCAACGGCAGCTGCGGCGCGATTGTCACTGGGTCAGATTTGCCGAAATTTCAAAAAAAAACGTCCGAATCTACACCCTCGATGAAAAGGTTGCATTCCTCCATTTCACAACCTTTGAAGCAGCTTGAGGTAGAGTTAGATAGAGCTGGATTTCGCGTTTCCAACAAGCATCGAAATTGCTCTGGAAGCCTTCCTTGCAGAAAGATAGGGTCTGTCAAATTTCGTCGAGTAAATGTCGAGGAGGCCGAAATTTTCACGCGAGTTTTTGCCACTTCAAGAGCAATATATCTCTTATATTGTAAGATCCTGAAAAAGGGAAGATAGTTTTGGAAAGCGGAAGGTTTGCGCTTCCTGATGGTCTGTTTAGTTTTCTTCTACAGCTTTTTGGTTGAAGAGATAATTGCGTCGAGGATCTATCGAGGTCGGATCGCGCACTTTCCTGACGCGAAAACGGCACATCTGTGATACATCAGGGCTACTGCACCTCACTCGCTGAATAGATTCTGTGACACAACTTTTGCTGGGGTTGTTGCTTTAATGAGTTATTGACACCTTGGGAAGCAGCCAGTGAACCCTTTTTCTTGGAATGATGTGACAACCTGCGCCCCTCTTGACTTATTGCTTGATAAGAAGCACATCATATTACATTTGGAATGTGATCGTGAAAAGTACCGCTGTAGTGTGAAAGTACTTTCTAGGATCTTCCACATTTGTACTTTCAGTGGTCCAAGAAAGCGGTAGAAAATCAGGGGTATGAACATCAATGTCAGACCTGAGGGAGGGGTACTTCAGGGTGGATTACCGGTGCAACAAATGGGTATTATGAGAGCAGGAGTGTTGGATGTAAGACGGTCACCGTTCTCTTATCCAAAATTACATTTCAAATGAGTCGCTTTAATTTTATCTTATCCTTGACGAATCCTTAGCGACATAAAGCCCAAAGGACTGCTTTCTAGCGCTAGAAACAAGATAGCAAGTACTGCACCCCACCCCCCACCACTCTATTTCCAACATGAAATAACGATCCTACGACGTAATGCCTGCTTGTTGAACACAGCTAGAGTAGGTGAGACCGATGGGTCCAGCACCTTTCGCCCATCCCATAAAAAGGATAAGGATAAAGCATTTGCCGTTGATCAATCCCTTTTGGGATGCGGCACGCATTCTACTTCCATTTGTACATTCGTAGTGGCGTTTGAATGCGATGTGGCCTATACAATGACTTGCGGGGGCCAGCCGATGTACAAGTCAGTGTTTTTATCCTCCCAGACAAGTCTGGTACCAATTAACCGACCCCGGAGGGATGGAAGGCTTGGTTGGCCCGGGCGACTCACGACCCAGGATTTGATCCCCGGACCGCTCGCGTGGTAAGCGTGCCACTTGCCACTACACCACTTCCGCCCATCCCATAAGACGCAATTCACGAAAAGAATGAAAAGGTCAAAAATTGCATTTGTTTTGGTAAAAATTCAAAAACCGGAAGGACTGCTACGCGTTCAAATTCCCGCCGGACATCTGTCACAAATGCTGGCGACGGGAACGCTTCCACTTGGTTCTCGGAGTGCCGTCACTAGAAACTCTTTCTGACCTTTTGACTTATTGCATAACATCTCACACTTCTACTGCATCCTATTCTATCGATTTTGTCTCCTTCTCAGAATCGCACGCTTTGACCTGATTCTTTCAATACGTCGCCTGAAATAAGGCCGCCCCAAGGCCCACTTCTTTCCATGCCCCGCCTTTTTTTTGACACCTTTACTGATAAACTAACTAATAGAATTCATAAGAGTGTTACTAGGAAATGGTTACCATGAGAACTTTATTATAACTAATATAGTTAAGTGCATTTATAAAAATAAGTTTATATGTTACAAATTTTCAATTGCTAATAATTATAAAAATATTAGTAAGTTAGTGGAAGGAATACTTCGTCACTAAAGTGCTATCTAATTGTTAGTGGAACAATTACAAACACCCACCTTTTACACTTTATAGTTTTACATGTTTTAATCAACTTATTTTTTCATTCATTTAGTCAATATACAATTCATTTCATTGCATGCTCCTCTGCATGAAAGTACGTCACATCAAGGTTTATTCGTCTTTCCCCTGTGTCTTTATTTCGCCAATCCCAACTCACTGATGAGCTCCGGGGATTGACGAAATAATAAGGTTCGTCTGAGGAAGGAGCGAAACGAACCGTATCTTTATTTTGTTTATAATGGTTTTTCTTTCTTAATTTGGCTCCGTGCGACCTACCTTGATGTCCATAAGTGTGGTTTTTGTACGTTTGTTTCTCTTCAGAAACCGAATCTTCATGCGTGAAACTTTGTGTGCTGTTTCCAGTGATCACAACTGACATATTCATGTTAGGAAAGAATGCAAGAATTTTCCGCGAAGGATTCCTTTAATGAAGGCTTCACCATCGGTCAACGATACACTTACCTACTGTTATAATGATACCACCGTCCTCCTTAAATGTGTCCGCTACTTTGGTAGGGTCGCTGTACATTCCTGATCTGAAATGTAACAGGGAATGTTCGATTGGATTACAGCCTCTTGTTTAAACAACGTCGTCAAGTGTTTTTCTACCTTTGATTGCCAAACTCACTCGTAAGCGGATGCCACAACAACGATGACCTTCTGCGCATTCGGTCTATGTTCTTCACTGTTGAAACTTTCAATAGCTAATTGAATTCCACTGGAAATACGAGAATTGTTCAGCACTGTGTTTTGCACCAGTTTCACTTCAATAATCGTTTCCAAACAAAAAGGAGGTCAACTCACGCTTCAATGTTTGTGCCGCGGGAACCAGAATATTGGTTAAATCCATGTTTCAGGAGCACTACCTATGGTATGCCATCGGGCTTAGTATGTACTGAACCGTTGCAGCGGCTCCTACACAGAAACTGCAATTGACATGATACGAAACGTTGACCACGATGAACAGTGAAAAAAAACTTACCCCGCACGGGTTTGCTGAGCATAATCCTGTCCTAGAGTCATTTTGGATAGCGCAGATTGGATGAACGCTGTAGCCTAGAACTGATACTATGTAGTTGATTTTTTATACGGCCGTCACTGATGATTTTACAAGCATTCAGCAGGCCACATGACACTCGTCTATTTGGAGCCGTCTAAGCAATTCAGGGAGTAGGCATTAAGGCCACACGCTGAGAGCTTAAGAAAAAGGGATAAGATCTCACAGTACCAACAAAGTAAGCCACATGGCACCTCTTGTGTACGTGGATGATTGCAGGCGGATATTCAGCAAGAACGCTAAACATCGGTCCCGCTTTCGTAGACGCACTTATATGTAATTGGTTCTGACACAATTACGGAGGATGAACTTTTTCAGGCCAATGCTTCTATCTGACACCGACACCTTTGACACGTTGACGACAGCGTGACGCGGTAACGCGTCCCACTTTGCGCACCTCGTGGGACATTGTGACGCGGTAACGCGTCCCACCCAAGTCATCCCTTTTTCTTGCGCTTGTGCGATACAATCCTGGTCTTTGTACTCATTCTATAGGTCATACTTAAATAATATAAATATTTAAAACCACAGGGCTCACAAAGTGCCAATTATATCCTTAAGTTTGACAGAGATTTTTCATACCTCATGGATATGTCTGTTCAGTTCATTCCTCGTGTTCTTTTCAATAAGGTAGATAAGGTTTGATAAATAGGAATAACAGAAATGCATAATGACCTATTCGTATGGGACGACATGTGTTTTTACTGAAACAATCACGTCCAAATTAATTTTGGAACCAGTAAAGGAAATAAAAATCCCTTCCATGGCCTTAACATGTCATTTCGGTCAAACTTCCATTACTGTAACTCCCGATAAGTTAGACAGATCGAACATTATTGAAAACACTTCATCGCATCTAAGTATTGCGTATTTACAGCTCAAAATCCATGGATTTGGTGTGCGGCGGCTGCGCTCGCAAAATCGCTCTTGTCCCACGCGGTGCAAAAACACAAAACGCGCGATGTCGTCAACGTGTTAAAGCACGTGCAACGTTAAAAAAGAGCTCATCGGGGAAGTATAACGCGCCACACAAAGCAGATACTTGGCTGCCAAGGAATCCACGTGTGGCGCTCACGAAAGGTGCGCTGGTTGCTGAGCAGCACTTCGAAGGCGCTCCGCCCCCAAAAGCGATCCGTCAGGGTGAATAACGGTCGAGGATTCCTCGACCATAGCTCTCTACCATGCGAGAGTAGTGCCGAGAGTGAACATCCGCGCGGAGAGCACAGACGGCACGCCATGGCGAGTGTGAATGTCCGCGCGAGAGATCGTGTCTGACCGGGCAGAGAATCCTCGACGTGCCGTTGAGGAATCCTCAAGCGATATTCACCCTGGTCGGGCACTCAGTTGAGCTGGGTATCTGGACGAACTTTTTGCAAACAGTGGCGCAACTGGAGCGAATCGACTGGAAGATGGTTCAGCGGTTGCGCGCCAACGCGCTGCGTATACTCGCCCATACGTTCATTTTGCGTTTTCTTGACGGATTTCTCTGCTTTTTTAGCCAATGACGTACCATTGAGCACCCGCACGTCCCCTCTAACCTTTCTTTAACTTAGCGTAATCGCTGCCTTTGAAAAGACAAAAAGTTATTTGCCTATTAAAGTGAAACTTAGTTGGTCTCGAACCTTCTAGCGTATGAGCATTAAGTCGGATAAGTCATGAATTGGTTTTCACCTGTTTAGGCCCCGAAGAAGGCGGAATCGCTGTAACGTTAGCCGACTAAGACATTATCAAGCTTGTGGGGTGTTGAATGCAATTTTCTTCTCCTTCTTGTTCTTTAGCGTTTGCGTTGTCCGCTTTCCTGGTTTTACGACGCCACTTTTCCCGATTACGTGCCTGATCGGGGTGAAGGCCAACTAATTTCAGACCCTCATGCAACGTATCGAGCCATCGTTGCTTCGGGCGTCCTCTTGGCTCTTTCCTGGCACGTTAAAGGAAGCGATTACGATAGATCTCAAAGGGGTTTAGAGGGGACGTGGGGGTCTCAATAGTACGCCAATGGCGAAAAAAGCAAAGAAATCCGTCGAAAATAAGCAAAATAGTACCCCTTTGATTGCCCTTTCATTTTCGACCATGGATGAGCGACGTTAAAGCAACAATCCAGGAACGAATTCGCGGGTAAGGACCACCTATAATGACGTTGCAGGTGAGAAGTTGGTCAATGGAGAAAGAAAAAGTAGAAAAAAACGTCGGGCAGGGGCTTAGACAGGGACTCCCCCTGCCGTTTAGGGAGACGTGTGTTGGACGAGTTGTCCGAACCTGCCCGTAGTACATGCGCTCCAATTGCAACTGCTGGCAAATAGCCATGCATGCTTGCAAATACATAACTATTTGCCAGCAATCGAAATTGAAGCGCTTCAATTGCGTTCTTATGGAATCGACCTCATACAGCGCGGCGGTCCCGCAACGACCGCTAGTCGAGCAAGCGCTCTGCACAGCTGCTTGGAGGCGGCCCCACCACGGATCGGTGGATCCGCCCCTCTTGAAGGATTTCGACTGCTTCCAACGCCTTTCAGAGGTAAGTTTTGAAGTTTGTGACATTTCCCATGAACTCCAATCAGGCTGAGGCATGTTTCCACCACTTGAAAACCAAATGGTTGAAACCCTGCCTGGACTGTTGCTTTAAAACGGACGTTGTTCGGACGTGTTAACCCCGATAGCCGCCATCATGCCAACAAGCATAGTGTTTTGATTGATAAGGCAATACGTGGGCAAGTTGGAAGATACAGCCGCTAGAAGGGAAATGATCATCCAAAATGAAAAGCCAACAGCAAACAGTCCATCCAGATCATCAACAAAACTAGTGGGCGTTACGTCACTGGGGGCGGGGCGTCACGCGGTCCTGCTCAGCAACCACAGCACCTTTCGCCGTGGGAGGACCACACATCGCTTCCTTGGCAGCCAAGTAATTGCTCCGTGTGGCGCAGGTTCTCCCCCGATGCGAAAATTCCTTATCGTAATCGCTTCCTTTAAAGTCAGACCAATGCCTACGGACAACTGTCATCATTAGCGCGAAGGACGTGACCGTACCACCTCAGGCGAGCTTCGCGCATCTTATCACCGATGGGAGCCACCGAGCCGCCTTCTGATGGTATCGTTGCGAATGTGGTCCAAAATGGTGTTGAATGCAATCAAACTGTATAATTATTATGTTGCCATTGTCGAACTTTTTGTCGCCATGTTCGACTCTCGAGGTTCACCGAGAGCAGGACATGGTGACAAAAACTTCAGCTTGACGTTCGAGGTACCCTATCCTACGCGCACCTCAAATGTATCGCCACAAATCAGCTGGCTAAGGTCATCATTCGAAAAGATTCACATACTCAGAATGAAGGAAAATGTGCTCTCGAAATAGATCTAAAATTCGACGAAAATGTGACGCAAAAAGTGGGTTGTTGTCGGGCTAGCAGATGTGTGATTGAAAATATTTGACATGAAAACACTCACACCATCGAATCCAGGGCTGGTCATGGCGTACGATGCATCCATCAAGAAATAGATATCAAGCCAGATGTTTTTATCAGTACACTTGCACTGGTCGACAAGTTGTGATGGTGGTACTGTCGAAGGTGTCGATTCTCCTGTGGTTGAATACCTAGTCGGCCATGGCGATATTGTCGAAGTAGCTGAAGCTGTAGATGCTGGTTCCGCAGTGGTCCCCGTAAACCAGTTCCAGGTCGTTGAAGCTGTAGATGTTGATTCCGTAGTGGTCCTAAACCAGCCCCAGGTCGTGTAGTCCGCTCGGCATAGTAGACTCAGTAGGCCTGAAAAATCGTCTTGAAAGGTCATTGCACCGAACCTATCAAATGGTGTCTACCTATCTAAACACTAGCAATATTTCGTGGTCAATTACCAGCCTAGTGACTATCATTGGGCGAAACTGGTATATGGCAAGTGTTGCTGCTTACCACGTGCACAGTTTTAAACCAATTGAGCACTGTGAACTGCACACTATCCAGAACAACCAAGCATTCCATCTCTCCTGGGTCAACTGGTATTACTCATGTTTGGGAGGGAGAGCAACACCCACATGTACAGCGGCGGCATCCGCAATTCGCCGTTCGATTGCATTGGCCTGATCAATTGCATTCTCTATATACTACTCCGGGAGACGGTCAATTCAATCGTCGGCTAATGAGGTCACGCCGCTCACGCGGCGGGCAGCGTCGCGCGCGGCAAATGGTGCGGCGATTTTTGTATGGGCCTTGGCTTAACGGTCCTTGTCCATAAGTTGCTGGTGGGGTTAGAGAACTGATAAGACCAAAGTTCCAGACATCAGTGAGCCAACAAGAGTCACCTTAAGATCTCCGCAGTTATTTAAGCCTCACAACAGAGCTTGTGCCATGTAAAGGTTGTCCTTTTGAACAGGATGAGACTTCTTTATTAGGCATCTTTATCAGGCCGGTGAGGAAGGCATTAACATCAGTATGACAGAATAAGTTTGTAATAATGGCAAAGGACAAGGATCCTGTATTTAAGGGGGCAGGTGATCATATACCGTGTTTCACGACTGGAAACTTCATCTAATCCTACATTCCCCAATGCTAGAACCCTGAATTCTACGGCCGACGTCGCATCGCGGGCTGCGGCGGCTGGCGCGGCGACCTAGCTATCGCCACGATTGAATAGTCACGCACCCATACTACTCCAAGTGGAAGTACAACAGAATGCGTGCGCATCCCAAAAAAGGATTGAACAACGTCCAATGCTCCATCATTTATCCTTACCGGTCAAATAAGACACTATGACCTGACTATTACAGGAGAAAAAAGGAAAAACCACTTACATAGGAGAAGACATGTCGCCAAGGGAAGGCGATGCATTTTGCTGATGGTTGTAGACAACTGTTATGTGCCTTTAAGTAGACGAGCGACATTTTCGCCCAAGCGGCGATAAACTTTACAAGCGATAAGGGGCTACCTGCTATCTGCATTACAGAACAGGCAGTTAACTGACATCACCCATCTACAATGACCGGCAATCCTTTTCTTGGAAGCCGAGCCGTAAGTAGGTTATTTTTTGGGCACGTCATGCAATCCTTTTTATTATATCCAAGAAAAACCTGATCATAAAACGACTGTCGCTTAATATCGCTTGATCTTTCGAACAGAACAACTGGAAGTTCCGCAATGCTTCGCATCCCCTTCTTGCCCGCTGCTTGCGCTTTAGCGTGCCTCATTGGTACTGACCTCATCGAAGTATCGCTCCCCCCGCTAGCCGGCTAGAGCCAGACGGCAAGGGAGTGGGCGGGCAGCGGCGATAGTTGCGCGGGGACGACCATGTTAGATCGCCGTGAGTGTTCCTTGTTGCGAATTGCGTGTCAGGTCCGCACTCTAGAGAGTCCGCATTTGTTTTCCCTTTTTTTCTTTTTTCTCGTAATTTCGAGTAGTACGTTGTCATTTATGTTGCACTTCTGACTAAAGGAGAATTCCACGATAAGCTCGGGGGAAGCGTACCTACCTAGGTAGATTTCCCCTTCTTCGACCCCCGAGCTTATCGTCCTCTAGTCAGAAGTACAACATAAATGGCACCGCACTACTCGAAATTACGAAAAAAAATAGGAAAAAGTAGAAAATTCACAAGAAGCAGTTTTCTTCTTCTCCTGCCACGAACCGATATGCGACGCAAATTTGGTATAAATAAAATGCTCCGATACAGAGAGATATAATCATGGAGGTATTTGTACAACAGATATCCACATTTGGAACTTTCACACGTATTGTAGATTATCAGAAAAAATTGATCGCATGGCTTACGACTTAGGCTATAGAGCTGCATGGTTCAGTGGTCCAACGAGGGATCGAATATCGCCAAGGTTAACCAAGCCTTCCATCTCTACAGACAGACTTATAGGTACCGGGCAGCAAAAATACTAGCTTATACATCGGGTCCCCGCAACTCGTTAATTAGGTAATTCCTCCTTCAGACTATGCTACGATTCAGAAGACAAGTGGTGCATCCTCAAGACACCGGAGACGAAGGTGCGCGAGCACGATGGCCGGCTGCGAGCTTTAATCTCGCCTTGTTTCTTGCCCGGGCACACAGCGTAATGTATACATAAATCCAAGCCTGTTGCACACAGGAAAGGCGGGAATTTCGGTAATACGTGAGATTGTCATGTAATATAATCAAGCTGCGCGGAAATTAGTCATGCTCATTAAACAGAAGATAAGAGGCGACGCTTTTGCCAATGTTCCGGTGCTGCAACCGATTTCTGAACTCTGCGTTATGCTGCTCCATGTCAGCAACCTGCATTCGTTATCATGTCATCACACTGCGAGTCTGCAGAGACAGGGTGTCAAGGCATTTCCTATAGACAGTAACTACCAACAAGTAACCTTTAACCTATGGCGGACCAATCTCTCTTCGCATTTGGCGTTCGCCTTATTATGTGTGCGGGCTAAAGCAGGATCATACACCCGATCCTCTGACTAATTCCTCAAAAACGCCCCTCGAATTACACTTCTGCGCTTAGATCAAGTCTCTCAACCTTGTTTCATTTGTAAGCTGCTGTTTAGGCAAGAATACTGGGTTATGAACAAAACTCTCGGCTCAGACGGGACTAGAACCCGCACCTCTTGCTTACCGGGCGAGTGCGCTACAATATATGCTATTGGGACACCGATTTGTTTGTTAACTGCTGTTTTAAAGCCACAGTTCGCGTTGCGAATGTTCCACAAGAATATTGGGTTGAGAACAAAGCTTTTCTTGCCTGAAAAAAAAATACGAACGCTGCAGGTTCGCTTTATCACAACCCAAGGAGGGGTTCATAGTGGGACCATGAAAAAACACGAGTTTCTCCCTCCGAAAAAACCCATGCCATGCTCCATTCGAATGCGCAAAGCAAACATGATTCTCAGATACTAGAACAAAGTCATTCTTCAAAGTTTTCGAGGAAAGGGGTTGAGGAAGTATGCACTGATGCCAAGTTTTCTCAATAGCAACACTCCAGAGAATCACCACTTCGTTACGCACTTTCTCATTTTCATTTTCCATCACAATACTTCGATGGAAAAATCTCGCGTTTTTTGGATTTGCAGCCCGATTCCGCCCTCTGTTCTCCTACCTCTCCAGCCACCTCACTAAATAGGTGTTAATACACCTTCAGCCAGCTGCCGTAAGGTGTACTCAGGTTGCTTATTGGGTTGTCTCATAATTCCTGTCTCAATTTCGACACTTTTGTTTATCCAAGTTTTATCTCTTCTAGGAAACAACTGATCAATAGCATAACCACCATCATGGTCACTGATATGCGTGCATTTGCTAGTGAGCGTTTGGAAGCTTCCAGCCCAGAATGAAGGAAGCTGGGGGTTGAAGAATTTGGAGAAGTCGTTTTTGGGGTGGTCGCAATCTTTAACTTTCTTCTCTGGCAGATGCTTATTCAGGGCGCAGGGGAGGCGATAGTCCGATAGAGCGATGCCAATGCTATATGGTGGATGAGGTATCGTGGCCCTGGCTATCTCCCTCAGAACGTGGTGAGTTGGCATTGCAATGTGAGGTCTGGCGTACATTCGGAGAAAGGAGAATCTGAGACGTTTCTGACGATTCCCTCGCAACCCCGAAGCCAGCCTAGAGGGCTATTCCGCGCTGACTTTAGCAATGCTTGTCTTCATACATTGAAGTGGTTCCCAAACCAGGCCACCTAGCGAATCCAACAAAACGAGAGCGATATTCTCAGAAAACGGAGTTCGGGCTTTGGTTGAGCTGGTGCTTCCTGGCTGCGAGGCAGCCATCAGACGTGCCGCATGTTGTTGTCGCAGTGGACTCATGACTCATTTCCACTGGTGACCGATTAGGGAAGGCTCTGCTTTTGCCGTCCCAGAATGGATTTTCCCCAGATGGTCAGGCGTGCTTCCCGCTCATGGTCGGCCGGACCATAAGGTTTCCATCAAAACTTCATTCTGCAGCAGTCCTTGCCATACTGATGGCGTGTGCTGGTGCATCGGCTGCGCTCAGGTATCTGCTACAATACCCTGGTAGCAACGTCGGAGGCACTCCCAATTTAGGGTGCAAGGGGCGCTCATCAAAAATGACCGCAGGCCCAGTATGAGGTTGAAGTTCATAGCTCGTTTCGTCTTTGCCGTTGCGATTGGACCACTAGCTCAGTACCCTATCAGTAGCAGAGACTGAGTCAAACACAGCGCTGATCTTCTCTGTTGTCCTCCTTGCTACAGAGTTCATTTGAGGATCGTAAAGCATAATCATTCATTATAGTCACTGACCTATTTTTATTCCTAGTTGATTAACCCGTTACGGGCTTGCGCTTCCGAAACCATGCTGTTAAGGCTCTTGAAGCATACTTCAACATACTAACGTATTTCGCAATGAAACGGTCTTAGACGGAAGAAATTTGAAATTGAATAGAAATGAGACAGGAATTATGAGACAACCCAATATTACCAGTTCAGCTGTGATGTCTAGAAAAACGCCTTGCAGAAGCAGAGCTCACTGCTCAATCAAACTAACAATAAGTTTGTGACCCCACATGAACTTGCGAAGCGGATGCTGAAGTCGTTTCTCTTACGCCTCAGATATAAGGTAGCTCAAATAAAATAGGAAAAGACATTATTCAGTGTCTATGACGCGACGTAGTTCTATAGAATAGAATACGGTGAATGAATGAGCAAAAATGAAAACTTCGGAAAGTTCTAGATAAACCATGCAGTCGCTAAATACTGTTACAAAAGCCCTGTTGTTCAATTTCGCCACAGTTCAGTTATGCTGTTGTTTCCCAATGCACACTCGACATGCATTTAATAGTTACCGACTCCGAGGAGCCCCAATAGTCGAAATTTTGCGATTTTAAATTCAAATTTTGCGATTTTTGAATGGTACTACAGCTGTGTGCTTATGGCGTGTGAAGTTTTCCGAACGAAGGCTCCACCCTTCGTCCAGATCCCTATTTCCTACAAAAAATGAAGAGCGGGAAGCTGGGAAGCTACTCATGAACAAGCCAAACGATCAGTGCGAAAAAAAAACAGAAATCTGAAATTCGAAAGCAAGACAAAACGACGTACCATGCTGTATACGCCGAACCCATCGTCGCGAATATACCCTTCAACCACGGCTTCAACGCAATGGAAATTCTGGACACTGCCGATTGCAATGCAAGTTAAAACTCTTCTCTAATTATTGTTAGAATTATGACCCTACCTTACTATTAGATTAAGGAATAAGTAAGCGACAAACGCTGCACTATTACACTGCACCAAACTTTATAGAAGTCTACATTTGATAAAACAGCTACAGCCGAAGTAGTGGACAGCCAGTTGTCAGGACAATAGATGTTTAATGAATACAACACGGTGAAGCAAAAAATATGAGCAAAGTGCAAGTTTTGCAACCGATATACATTCACAAGGGACAGACATATAGAACCGTGTTACCGGAAAATTTCTTTAGATTGACATAGATCTATTTAGCGGAAAATCAATTTTTTTTACATCCTCCAACAATGAAATACATGGGGACATCTAGAGAAACACTGCAACGAAATTAATGTAATGAGTCCTAAGAAATGAGTCCACATTAAAATATATTTTTTAGATGTTTATTAAATGCAGTATATGTGTTATCTATTTAAAAGAGAACAGATAGTGAGTGGCGTCGAAATGTATGAAAACTTCTCTTCTTAACACGCACGACTAGCAAAAGATAAAATTCCCTCAAATCCACGGAATGTATAACACCAAGTGTGGAACATCGAGTGGGATACACGATGTACAGTTTTTTTTTTTTCACGGAAGTCGCAGCCCGGAATCACAATTTCTTCCAAAAATGGCGCCTCAATTTTTGGAAACACCAAAACAAAACACCAAAAGAAATTTAGCACAACAACTCTCAAATTCATATAGGAATTAGTAAACTACCAGTGTAAGAATGAGAAGATACGACTTTCGGCGTCGACTGATCCTTCTTGGAATGCGCCACGCATTTTACTTTCATTCAGTACCGCAATTGTACTAGAATGCGGTATGACCTATGAAATAACTTGCGAGGACCAGCCAATGTATGAGCCAATGTTTTCACCTCTGAGGCAGTGTGGTACCAGCTAGCCGATCCGAGAGGAAGGAGGGCTTGCTTGTTGACTAGAACCGATGTGAACCGTCCCCCCCCCCCAAACCGCGAGCATGGAAAGTGGTGCCACTTCCCACCTTCGCCCCATATTTTTCGAATTAATAAAGTATAGCCAAACGATTCGACAAAAGGCATCCCTTTCCTTCTCTAAATAATGAATCGATAGAATGCGAAATTGGAGCCATCATTTATTTGGGGCATTGGATAAAGTTTTCTGGTGGCATTCTCCACTAAAATGTAGGTAATAGCACTATTATCGTTCTAGCTCCCGTCTGAGCTGCACCTTCTCTCATAATTTTGATCCTTATTGGTCCATTTTTTTCAGAATTGGGGAGGTCGGCAAATAATCAGGCACATCAGATCACTGTCGTAGTGAAAAACCTAATTTCTCGACTTTTTCCGACGAGCGGAAAGGAGTTGTGCTCTACCCAACGTCCTTTTGCCCAAGCTTACAGGTCACTGTAGTAGCCCTAGTCAGTGGCTAACTACCTGGTGATCTATCCTAGCCCTCACGACAGAGCCTGGCAATCTACTCGTTGGTCTTCTATATGGCAAAAACAGGAGAAATGGGCTTCACCTTCGATTCAGGAGTACTCCCTGCCTCAACCTACGCCTCAGAGACTTGGATTCTGCGCAGGCCAGGACGAGCATGCGGTCACCATTATGTTGTCGAGAGGACGATGCTAGGAGTAACCCTATACACGCAAGTGCAGAGGGGAATCCGGAGTTCGAACTACGCCAACGATCGAAGATCAGGGACGCTGCCGTTTTCGCCAAGGAATCGAAGATAAGGTGGGCCGGACACGTCATGCGATTTTGCGATGACCGTTGGACCAGAGCGGTTACCGACTGGATCCCTCGATCCCTCGGGACGTCAAACGAACACCTGGACGACCGCCGGCCCGATGGTCAGACTTCTTCACGAAAGCTCTGAACGAAAGGAATGAAGGACTTCGTGTCCCTCGAGCGAGGAGGATCCACTGGACCAACTCTAGCACGCGACAGGGACGAATGGAGACGTTGCTGGCGCCCGCTCGAGCAAATCGATGATCAACGGGACGACAGGTGATACAGGTGACTGAATGCTGAGAAGTGAGGCATCTGCGGATGGTCTGACACAACCTCATCCTGTTACTTCTAGTCTATTCGACTGCCAAAATCTGGTAACTCGTATGAGGTTAACAGGACTTTTCAGTAAGTCCACAACACTCTTCCCAATAAACAGAAACTCGACTCGTTGCTGAGCAAAACTTTTCCGGCCGCTAGTAATCCGCACTAGCCGTGAACATGCAGGAGCCTATTTAGCCTTGACTCAACGACGGTTTCATGTTGGAACACCTTTCATATAATCCGCCAGACATCGCTCCATGTTGAACAGCGCTCCCAAATTCATGCTAGCAGCCGGAACCCCACGCGCCATTTTCGGAAGAAGCGCGTTTTTTTGAATACTGTTTTCGATTTTTGGGAACGACGGACACATCGTGTTTCGCACTTATTTTTGAGTCTATACTCTAATTCGGAAGACTAGAAGAGCGTCGAGCGCAGACCACGCACCGCGAAACGGCGGCTAAAAACACACTTTCTTCTTGGCTGCCGTCACTTGTGGTGTGTGGTCTGCACTCGACGCTCTTCTCGTCATCCAAAATAGAAGGTGTGTGAATTTGAGACTAATTCGTCCTCCATTGGACGCGATAAGACGAGATAAAAATGGAGAAGTTTCCTAACTTTTGACCGCCACTCTACGTCGAAAGGCATGAAATCGCTGTAAACGCGGCATGCATTCAGTTCGACCGTTGTGTGTAATGCGCATGGAAGCCTAGTGGAATCCGTGATTGTGGAACCACATAGCGAGCCTGCTCCTCCATAGTTTCAGCATCTAGCACGACCACATATGGCCTGTCACCTTCCCGACACGTGACGACCGGCACAATCAACACTCCTGTAATAGTAGCATTGACTGCCTTTGCTTCTGATAAAACTCATTCAGGAAACGTAGTGGTTCGAAAAAACCATTCAGTATCAATAGCAAACTCGTCGGAAGCCGTAAAGTGTGAATACTGACACTGAGCGTGTCAGTACCGTAATAACTTACCATGCGACTTCTCTCGCGACCACGCACTCTATGTCTACAATACCGGCGGAAACACTATATGACAGCGTGTAGAAAAAAAAAAAACTTTGATTCTAACTGTTGTGACGAGCTCGAACCCGCCACCTCTGCTTACCACGTAACTGCGCTATGTAATACGTACGGAAGAGTTTTCGCCATTAACTCAGTTGTTTTTTTTTACGGCAAAGTTAAAAAAAAGTGAAGTTCTTGAGCGGTATTTAAGAAAGTTTCATCGTTTCTCAAGTAGTGTGAGTAACAAACCTTCATCTTCTTTCGAATAACCAGGCTTGTTCACTAGAATGGGCTCAGCACATAAGTGGTCCTCGGCGTCTTTGTACCACACTTTGGAGGTTCCATCTTTAACATCGACTTTGACTACCTGAATACGAACAGGCTCATCGAATAAAGAGGAGAGAGGTAAGAAAGGGTTCTACAGCGTACAGCCTCAAACCTATGAAACCAAGATCAACTTTTAGTATTCAGTAGCAAGTTGCTTTACCACCTATGAAGACCTCTCCCCTTGGAAATTTCCGCATACTAAAATAGCGCTTGGGCTTTCAAAAATGAAACAGAAAACCCTCTATTCATTGAAACGACCACTGCGAGGGTGCGGCAGCTGACATGAGGCATCTTTTTATCATGCCGTCCGCCGAATGACCACACGCCCCCTTCATGGGCTGTGACTGTACACCGCATTTTCATTGAGAAATCGTCAGTAAAACCGTGAGAAGAAACTCACTCCATGTTTTTCGTTGTCGTCGTGAGTAAGACAAGAACCATACACGTATCGATAGTCACGCATATTAAGATCGTAGCAGTAACGGGGAAATTCAAAGGCTGAAATATAGCACATAAAGTATTTCGCTGCCGTCAGCCTCTCAACCGCTCAAAAGGATCTGCGGAAAGTTAGAAAACCCACATATATCACTCAGTTTCATATCTGTACAATGAATACTGCCGTCTTCTCGAAGAAACGCCTGGCAGTCACCAGCGAATTTGCAGGAGGACAACAAATCATCGCCGGGTTTGCTGTTATCACTCACATTCAATGGGATAATCATACGATGCAAGAAAGGCTTGAATCCAGAGTTCTAGAATAATTCTGAATTCTCTGAATTAGAACTTGTTCGAATCCACCCAGAAACATGAGGAAATGCATGCTGCAATTTTTCCTGCACTCATTAATAGGGAGCAGATGAAGAGAGTAGAAGAAAAGAAAGGTAGGAATAAGTCCATCTAGCAAGGGAGGATTATTGTCCCACATTCTTGGGCCTTTCGAGAACTGCAGGCCAACGAATTTGGTGCAAAACGTTTCAATGTAATCGCCTTCTCAAAAAGTGGAATAGATCGCCCAGACGAATTTCGAGTTTGAAAGATACCTATCACTACAGGCAGTCAGTACACTCTGTCAGATACTGGAAAGCTTATGCCTTTAGGAAAGCCGCTGCTACTGTTCCGGTGGTGCATATTCCCCTTTACGCACCTACTTTATCACAACCACAACCTTTAACTCAAAAACAAGTCATCGAAAATGCTTGAGCGGATCGGGCGCCTGACAGGGTAATGTTCATCTGCTAAACTCGACGCTCTTTTGAGGTCTTCGAAAAGTATGGCTCGTCAAAACCTTGGGCTACTAAGCGAATTTTTCAGCTAGAAATCTCCAAATGCACACTAAAAAACTGATAAGGAGCAGAAATGCTGAAGTAACAGTGGGAGAGAAGTCGAAGAGTAGTTGTGTGGTGGTGCTATAATGGGCAAGTTCGAGAA